TCGGCCTCAAGGACGGCGCTTCGCGCCGTATATAAACTATAAGAACGAGTAAATCCAGCCTCTGGTTCCCAGGGTAGTTACTAAACTGCCATAAGAGATAAACAGAGGAATGTCATTGAAATCGCCAATGCCCTGTCTGGACGCAGCAACAACAGAAAGAAGAATTTTGGATTCTTAACTGTTGCAGATCTCCGAAGAGAAAAAGTCAGAAGATTCGGAAACATTTATTATATCATTCTATCAAATAAATTTATTATTAACTTTGGGTTGTCACGATCAAAATTGCCTTCTTTCATTGTTAAGTTACGCAAAATTTCCATAAAATCAATGCATCGTATAATAATCGAAACTTTATTGCAGCTTTTAGTGTTTGAATTCTACTTATCAAATTGCGAACGGTTAATTTGATATTTGATATTGTCATAGTCTAATCAGCCAATCAGAGCACGAGAATTTACACAAGAGCATCCATTCTTTCACGATCAAAGGTTTTCTCAATGTCTCGAGTATTTTCATTTGCAAAATAGCTAAAATTCCCAATAAATTGCGTMAGTAGTCAGCAAGATACTAATATGTCAAAATTGTTTTGAAATTAAACACCGCCAAGCGAGACAATGCAAATTAATAGAAACAGATAAATTATAATATCACAATCATGTACGCAAAGCTTTTCACCTTCTACTGGACTGATGTAGTTCTAGGGCTCTAATAATTTTGGTTGTTTGTTTTGTTGTCATAATCTTACAATGAACCTATATAATATAAAGTACTCATTTTCAAAGTATTGCATCTTGTTCTCATATAGCTTAAAAAATAAAAAAGGTATGGTATTTTGCTGGCTTACTTGTTGACAATAATTAAAGGATAAACAAACATTTTTTGTGAAAAAATCAATAGCAATACTTACAAATAACGAATCAAAACTTTTGTTGAAGTACGGAAACGTCGTAGTAATTGAAATCTCTCCAGAGTTTTGGTCATCGTTTTGATGCAGAAATTGAGTGCCCTTTGGATAAAATAGTTCTGACTTAACAGTTAAAACAAGTGCCGCAAGGATGCAGCAATATTTAGTGGAGAACATTACATATAACCAATTATGTGTATATCTGGCTTTGCTTCCTGGTTGAGTTATGTACAGAATTTGTATGTAAACGATTGTTCGGTCGATTGGAGATGCATGCACGACCGCAAGCTATCATGGAAGCTAATAATTGATGTTAACGGACGTCAAAAGAAAAACATAAAAAGGTTAATACATTCTTTTGTTACCATATATGGGGTAGCAATCCGTAGCAATGCTACGAGATTCCTACCGACATAAAAGCTTCAAAATAGCGCTAATACTGTTGCTTACGTCTAGGAATATAGGATTACATTTTAATATAGGATTACATTTTAAAAAAGACAAAAGAAGTGACAACACAGTTCATTCTCAGTTTGTCAGCACTATCTTAAACGCTCACCTTGAGGCAAGATTCTCAACTTCACTTTGCTCCTCGCTTTTCACTTTGCTCCTCGCTGCATCGCTCAAGAGAGCACGGCAGGATACGATTTTTGCACTTTTTATGGCGTTTTTAAGCCCAAACTATCGTGTAAAGTTATTGTATACTCTTTGTCTTATATAGTATTTCCGTTTCCGTTTAGTAGTTCGTTTCCGTTTCCGCTTTAGCTTTAGTTTCGTTGTCATTTTAGTTTTCCCGCGTGTATTCTAGTTCTTTGTATTATCAGGTTTTTGTACTGTCCCACGAGAATTGTGTTCCTGTAACTAGTGTTTTCTCTGTATTTGTATTGTAGTTTTACGTCTTCGATATTCATTAAAATAGTAGTCAGTAAATACACGTCCTGAGCCTAGCTTGTTGATTGCGTTTGACGATACTCCGCTACATATCGTTTACCGGTCGCCATTTTGAATATTTCAGAAATGCTTATCTGATGACTGATTGTAACGCCTCCTTTCCGAGGGTGTGACGTCATTCTAGCACCGAAGGTACGATAGAATCCTAAGAGGGCGAGAGCATCTTATAAAGTCTCGACCAATCGGGGCTCTATTGCGCCTTCGGTGCTGGAATGACATGACAACCTCGGAAAAGAGCCATTACACTCGGTCAGCGGATAATCTATTCAACGATCGTTTTGGCTTTAAAACATTTAAGATAAATTGTACAAAATTAATTCTGTCGTACTCCCTTGCATCGTTGAATTTTCAGAATTTTAACTGATATACCGGTAAGTCAAAGGAAAATCAGAATGTGTCTTAAGATTCCAATCAAACATTTTCTTACGGTACTTTCGAGTTGTTTGAGCAAAATGATAAACATTCGAACAAATCGAAAATTTAGATTAAGATTTTATTGAAACTTTGTCAGTATATCAATTATGTTAATAAAAAAAGATTCTGAAAATTTCATTACAATCTCTGCGATGAGTTTCGAGAAAATTAATTTTGAAGAAAAATGAAGGTGTTTTTATTTTGCATCGTTTATCCAAATGGCTTCGCTTTTTGACAAATTAATTTATCGACAAGAATTATCGATAATCACTGTTACTTCTGTGAAAATTTGAGTGCAATGTAATCGAAATTTGCGACGTAGTTGGAGTTTAAAAATACGCGCGAAACACGATTTATTACGATCGAAACACCTTAATGATACTTAGAAGCCGTTTACTAAAGACCTAGACAGTGATTACTATGCAAGACTATGTTGTAGTTGTAGCATATATGACTTCAATGAGATGAAAGCGGAGACAGCGTACATGATTTTGAGTGCATGCATATCAAATTTTATTTACCCTTTATCGAGATAAAATAAAGCAGATGAATTCACTAGATGTACTATTAACTTGTGTAGTTACTAGCAAAACATCCKGCACCCGGAAACGCTCCTGGAAGCGTCGAATGATCGAACGTTTTGCTGCGCACTTTCTCATCTTTATTAGATTCCATCTTACTCTTATTGTTATTGATTTAAAAAAAGTGCAGAGGATACTCACAAATAATGAATCAAAACTTTCGTTGAAGAATTGAAACGTCGTCGTGATGGAAATCTCTCCAGAGTTTTGGTCGATATTTCTGCTTATGTAATCAACCAATCACCGCATGACAATTCATACAGCAACGGCAAAAAGTCCTTGGAGTCTGTTTTTTAATGAACTTTTCCTTTTATAAATCTACAAGTTTTGGCTTTTATAGACTTAACTATACTCGGCAGCAGTTATACACGTAAATGAAATTATAAAGATACTTTTCCATAGAGAAATAGAGCATTTGAATTTTGTTATAGGAATACATTGCATAGACTGGGGAAAGCATTCAGCCTGAGCAATCTTTTTAATTTGTCCTTTTTAATAAGTGCAAATGTTCTTATTTTCTCTATTATTACAACGTTTTTGAAATTAGGTGTATACAAAGCAGTGCCTTTCGGCGATGAAGGCCCGGGTACATCTGAAAATGGTTGGCCGCTCGGCGTTACAACTTTTCTACAACCTTGAAAGTTTCATTTGCTAAGCACAATCTAGCTTCGTAAAAATAATATGCATCTAGAATTAATAAACAACAATGCGCCCTCGCAGTTAAAATGCAGATAATGTAAAATTAAATCAATAGAGTGCACGTCACATAAGCATGAAACAATTCTTAACTAATTAGCGCCTAATAAGATTTAGTTATCAACTAACTATTAAGAATTTAGTGAGGCCAAACAAAAACAAGTTTCCTTTCTGGCATTGTGTTCATGCCCCAGTGAATTCTTAGTTAGTTGATAACTAAATCTTATTAGGCGCTAATTAGTTAACTATACTAATAGAAAACTATTGAAAGTAAAGAGATATCCAGACTTTCACAGTATCATAAAATCGGCCATCAATACTAAAAAGAAAAACACAAAGGGGCTTATGAGATTTTTTTTCACAGTACTCCCACTCCCGTATTTTCGCAGGAATGTTGTATCTAGATCTGAAGTACTGTCTATTCTGAACATCCACACTCCAGGTTTACCAACGTTTGATCTTGAAGGGAGATCCCATGCGCTATTGTTTTGTGTACGAGTAGAAGGGATATACAAAATGGTGCCATTCGATAGTTGGAATCCACACTAAAATACGAAAAGATAACATATTCAGTACGTATGTCAATTGATTGTACTTTTTAATTCATTAATTTAACTTCTAGAAAATAATTGTCGGCACGGTAGCACGACAGTAACAGAACGGCATCTTTTTCGGCCTCTTGTATTGTGACCACACAGTTTTGAATGCAATCTTGGTGAGCGTTTAATATACAATTGGCCACACGGGCGATAATGCAGCACTATCATCAAAGTAAATTCAAACTAAAGTTTGTTTGGTCGGGGATCGATTCCCGAGCACGGACCATCATGTACCCATGCCAGCATACGAGGAAAGTAGTTTTCTTTGGGTTTATATGTCCATGAAATGTCGCGGTAGTTAAAACGAACAAACGAGTAACGCCCATCGGTTAGCAGTACCGCCTGGAAGGTGAGAGTCACGTTCTAGAATCAAAGCAGGTCAAAAATGAATGAAATGAAACTGAGACATGTAAAAACATGCAGCGAGTACAATCAAAGATTGCGTTAGCAATAGAGAAGAGTTATTGTAGGGGGACGATTTGTCACTCACTTTTTTGTACACTGGGCGTTATAACTATATAATGAAATAGCTATTTATTTATTTTGAAGTCTGTTTATTCTTATGAGCTTGAAATTTCATCTGCAGATATTTCAGAAAACGTTTAATGCAGAATTCTGTACAAGGTGCATTGCATGACCACAATGAACTCACTAGGTTAGCTGCTTCACAAAATGACTATTCTACACTATTCTCGCTCGACTGTACGTACGGAGATTATACATTTTGAAACCACGAAAATTCATTCGGCGATAAAATGACTAAATGCATTTTGGTCTTAGAATACACTATCTTGAGTTCAACGTTTTCTGAAATAGCCGTATAAGAAAATCCTTTATTCGCACGAATATCAGTATCATTCAAACCTTGACAAACTACGACCAATATCAATGATATAACCTAACAATTGCAGCACTGTATATAACACCATACATCATATAATCGGCAGGTAATACATACCCCATTGTACCCCGCGATTGGTACTTTCTCCCAAGTAACCACGAACATCCATGTTGCCGAGAAATATGGGAATTCTGGGAATGCCATTCTTACGTCATTTGATGCTACCTCCAATGAGCGTTTGATAGTGGTTTGTCTGTACCATATCCAGCCTTTCTTTAAGCGATCATCCATTGCCATAAACATTGTCGTGAATGGGAATATACTCATAGCACGAAACCATCCGATGGGCAATCTGCCTAGCCCTATTACACCTTTTTTTATCTAATAATGCAAAAAAAAAAAATGTATTATACAAAAAGAATTCAACGTAAAGAGTGGCAGCGTTACGTTATCAGTCCCATACAAATCCTTTCAAGTCGCACATGCAATCGAGGGGCATATTATTAATTAATTCAGAACGTAAATAAAAAACACTGTTGACGAAATTAACTGTTTAGTGATATACGCTTGGAAGATGCTTGTCTGTAGCTCTCACAGCGTTGAAAAATATTCATATTAAGCACGGTTTCACAAAAAGATGCCTACCGATCGAATTCTTGCATAGAGTGCACGCCACATAAGCATGAAACAATTCTTAAGTAATTAGCGCCTAATAAGATTTATATAGTTATCAACTTATTACTAAACAAAGACAAGTTCCTTTCTGGCATTGAGTTCATGCACCAGTGAATTCTTAGTTAGTTGATAACTAAATCTGAGCGGTGGTTCTCATTAACCCGTGAAACAAAGTGTAATAGTCGAAGTGTAATAAAGTGTAATAGCCAAGAAATATAATAGAAAACAAAAAAGAAAAAAAGTATTTCACGGGTTCCACTCTGTTAGGTATTGATAGTTAAGAATTGTTTCATGCTTTTTTGGCGTGCACTCTAGTAATTATGTGCCAAAAGCAACCGCGACACT